AAGACGATCGGGGGAGAGAGCGATTTTAAGAAGCGGCGGCTCAAGGTTGGGAAAAAGGTGCGAAAGCACGCGAGCGAGACGGACGCGACGATCCGAGCGAAATCGCTGCGGTTGACGACGCAAAACGTGCGCACGGTCGATGCGGGGGGGGACGCGGTCGTGAGCTCGCGCGGGACGCCGTTGAATGAGTTGTTGAATCAATCGGAGCACTACGCGTCGAGGACGCGCGCGGAGGCGTTGCGAGGGATATCGGAGATTGCGAAAAAGGCGCCGCGCGCGATCAGGGAGCGGGCGAGTGATGTCATCGAACGAGTCGGTGAGCGGTTGGCGGACTTGGACGCGGAGTGTCGTAAGGAGGCGAGGGAATGTTTGAGAGGCGGCGTCGCGCCGGCGCTCGGTGAACGCGGGTTGGCTCCGTTCGCCAGGACGTTGATTTTGTACGCGGGGGCGGCGCTGACGCACGTGCAGGATGGCGTACGAAGGGATGCACCGGCGGCGTTGGACGCGTTGCTCGGCGCGGCGCCGACGCTCGTGGTGGCGCACGCCCCGGCGAGCACGCTTGGGCACTTGGGAGAGTTGCTACGAAGAGGCGACGACGGGGGCGTCGGCTCAGGGACTTCGACGCGACGAGGAGTCGGTTCACAGAAGCCAAAAGCGAGATTAGCGCTCTTGAGGAGTTGTCGCACGTTTTTGGAGATTTTGGTGGACTCAAACAGGGCTTCGTCCTCGAGCGCGGAGTCGTCGGCGGATTCGACGACATCAACCTTCGTGTGGGGCGAATCCACCGTTCACGGATCGGCGACGCGTTCGATCGGGCCTTTACACGCCGAGCGCGCGCGGCGAGCACCAGCAAGTATGTTCGCTGCGCAAGCGTCGGCGACCGCTGGGGAGACGATGGAGACTCCAGGCGACGTCTCTGGCGAGGGACCGCTCGCCGTGCGAGCAAACGCTAGGCGTATCGTCGACTTGACCATGTGCGTGTGGGACGACGCGTCGCAGACGTTGTCCGACGAGCGCGGTGTGGATATCGAACGTGTGCGCGTGATGACAGAATCAATGGCTTGTGCGAGACTCGCACTCAAGCTCGCCGACGACACGTCTACGGCGATCGAGTTCGGCGATTCGGATCGTGCGTCAGCCGCGGTGGACATCATGCCAGAGATCGCCCGCCGCACGCTCTGCGCGTTCCCATCGATCGCTCCGGTGAGTGTTGTGGAGAAACAGGATCCAGCTCGGGTGAACGATGCCTTGGTGATCCTGAACTTTGAGACATGTCGCTTTCTCGTTGCCGCCTCAATGACAGTTGCGAACGTTGCGCTCGTGCGCCACCTCGCACCGGGAACGATGGAGGCACTTCCACACGTGCTCGCGAGAGCGTTGCAGTACGTGACGCACGCACTTCATGGCGTCGTCTTGGATGGAGGTGCCGTCGGTGAAGGCGTACAAACTCCAGAAGAGGCGTACGAAGACGTCATGATACTGGCGCGCGATGCCCTCGCGCTTCCTACGTGGTGTTTCAGCGCGAGTACTACTGGTACTGCGTGTGCGGAACTCGTGAGCGCCGTTACGACGACATGGGACGCCGCTGTTGCGAACGAAGACGCCGAGCGCATCGTTCAATGCGTCTCGTTGTTGACGGCGACTTTGCCGGAAGAGGCTCGTCAGGGATACACTCGGATCCCGATCGAAGCCGTCGCGGGGTGGGTTCGCCATATCCCTCGCGTCCTTTGGTTCTTCAAGCATGAAAATCCGACGGAGACGGAGAGTTTACTTTCATTACTTCATGACATCGCGGCAAGAAACCCTCCTGGATCACCTCTCGCGGATGTTCTATCGATGTGTGAGACAGAGATTACGGTGTTGTTCTTCATGATGCCGCCGGCGGGATCACCCGAGGGGGCAAAATCGCGTCCCGGACCGTTCGCACGTTTGCCATTCCCGCTTCAGTGCTCGGCTGTCCGTCTTCTTGGCGTCTTACCAACGCTGACAGCTCCTACAGTGAGAGCTCTTGCGAAGATTTGCCTCGACGTCGATCGAGTGAACGAAGAGCTCTCCGTGATTGCCGTTGAGGCGTTGCAAACGAACCCGATCGCGGCTCCGTTTGAACTCGTGGTCTCGTTCTATGCAACGCTGCTAGTCGGCGCGTCTGGGGTGAAGTTTCTCGAAAAGTCGAGCAAACGCAGCGTCGAGGAGGTCGAGCAAAAATCTTGGCTCGTCTCACGCCGAGTCTCTCCCGTCGCCGCCGCGGCGCTCGTATCGCTCAGCGATGCCGACGCACCGTGGACCGGCGCATCCTTGGCGTGCGCAACGCTTCGAGCGGTGTGGACGAATCGCGTCGAAAAGGGAGACATCGACGGAGCGACGAGAACAGCAGGCGGTTTCGTGAGCCTCTTCGCAAGCTCAGCCGAGCTCGCGGATTCCGTCGGTTTCAACGCCTTGGACGATGACGATCTCGCATCCTCCGCCCCAGATATGTTCGCGTGGTTCATTCTTCACGGAAAGAGTGATCACGGCGTGAACGTTGACGTCGCATGGAGAGCGCTTCAGCTTACCTCAACACGAGCGTTGCTCGGTTCCATCGCGAACGCGGTGGCGTCGATGTCGTCATCCTCGGCATCCCTTTGCGACAACGCCACCTCGTTCATGACGCGACTGCTTCGGAGCGACTTCATTCGCACAAGTGGATGCGAAAAGGGGTTACGCGACGCCGCTCGCTCGATACAAGCGAGTTCGAGCGCGCTCGGCGGCGCCGGATTGGCGCAAAAAGTTCGCGAACTGGACGCGGCGGTTCAAGTCGCATTCGACGCGGCGGCGTGAGGGAACAATTCGTCCTCGTATCATTAGAAATTTTAGCGTGTAGTCATAGCGATAAGAGTGGTAGCTCGATCGAAGCACCAGATTCTCGTAAATCGTAGAGACCTCGCGCGCGCGTCTCACATGAAGTCGTACTCGTCGTCCACGGAGTCCACCGCGTACTTGAAGTCATCCAACCCTCCACCCGCGCCCGTCTTACCACCGCCGGCGTTCAAGAACTTACCCTTCTTAGAGTTCGCCGCCGCCTTCTTCGCCGCCTCGGCCTCCGCCTTCTCCTTCTTCACCTTATCCGTGCGCGCCGCGACGACGGCGACCTCCACCTCCTTCACGTCCGCCGCCGTGAGCTCGCGCGTCGCCACTCGCAACAACGCCTTAATCGCGTGCACGTAGTGCGCCCCCCCCTCATGCCTCGACAAATACTTGTGCGCCACCGCGCTCCCGAGCTTTTCAAAGTCACCCTTCCCCTTCGGCTCGAACGTCTCCAGCTCCACGTCTCCGCCGCCGAAGAGCTCGCGCGCCGCGCGCAGATCCGCCTCCTCCACCAGCCGCTGCCGTCGCGCCTTCTCCGCCGCGGGATCACTCAGCGCGTCATCATCATCCTCGTACGACACCGCGCTCTTAATCTCCTTCACCTTTTTCGCCGCCGTCGTCTTCGCTCGAAGCGCCGCGATCTCGCGCTCGCGATGTTCTCGCCCCGCGCGTTCCTCCGCCGTCTCCGCGTCTTCGTCCGCGAACTTATCGCGCACGGGGGCGTCTCGGGCGAGGGTGAGTTTGGTGACGTCCGGGACCTCGAAGTCGTCGTCGTCCCATCCACCGTCGTCGTCGCTCATCGCGGGCGTCGCGCGATGGGGTTGTCGGCGTCGGCCGTGCGCCCTCGCGTGTGACTGTTCGCCCACACGGCGGTGTCGTCAGCGCGCCCCGAGGATGTGTGCGTCGGCGTCGGCGCGCCCCGAGGATGTGCGCGTCGGTGTCGTCAGCGCGCCCCGAGGATGTGCGCGTCGTCTTCCGCGCGCCCGCGTCGACGACGGTCGACGACGGGCGACGGCGACGACTGGAGACGCCGACGAGGCTCTCGCGCGCGCGCGACCGACGCGCGTCGCGCGCGCACGCGGCCGGGCCACGGGCGCGTGCGCGCGCGCGCGCGCGAGGCGGAGATCGTCGAGGGGATATTTGTGTTTGAAAAGAAATCGGTGAGACATGCGCGCGGCGACGACGGCGGCGTCGTGGACGCGCGGCGCGACGCGCGCGCGACGCGCGCGGGACGGGGGGGGGGGGGTGAAGA